GGGATACCGTATCAAAGGCCTTCCTGAATTCTAAGTATACGACATCCACCCCTCCTCCTGTGTCCAGGCATTTCGTAACCTGGTCATAAAAAGAGACTAGATTAGTCAGGCATGATCTGCCTGCTACGATCCTGTGCTGGTTTCCCCTCAGCATGATTTGTCCTGCTGGGGTCTTGCAAATGTGAGCCTTGATAACTTTTTCAAAGACTTTGCCAAGGACTTTTCTTCCCTCCTGCTCTACTCTGGCTTCCAGCTCTGCCCCGTGAGGAGGTGACTTGGGCTCCTGGTCTCATCGCCAGTGTACTCCCTGCAGAGTTGATAGGAAAGGCCAAAAAGAAAAATCTGGAGCTTCCTCTGCCTCCAGAACCTGGGATGGAGGGGAACAAGGCAGGGACAAGAGATTTGCTTTTCTGTTGTCTTTCCTGCATGGAGGCTCAGTGCACAGAGAAGAGGGAGGCTGACTTGACCAGTCTGCAGATCCCTGCAGGGCAATGCAGAGAGCCTGGAGACGAGCTGTTCTCTGTGGCCTCCAGGGACAGGATGGGAGTAATGGTTGTGAGCTGCAGCAGGGGAAGTGGAGGCTGGAGTGGATCAGAAACATGACACCGAGCGGGGCCAAACGCGGGAACAGGCCCTGAGAGATGTGGGGAGGATCCATCCCTGGCAGGTCCCAGGAGCAGGTTGTCTGGTCATTTGAGCCCCGTTTTCTCTCCTGCCCAGGGCAGGAGGTTGGACCTGATGATCTACGATATCCGTTCTGACCCAACTTCAGTGAATCTATGAATCTATGATCCATCCCTGGCAGGTCCTAGGATCTGGTTGCACATGCAGATGAGGGAGCAGAGCACCAGGAGGAGATGACGATCTAGTCTGGTCTCCATCCCAGCGGGGCTGGGAAAGGTCACCTCAGCTTCTGGCATGGAGGCCAGGGCTATATGAAGTGGACATCGAGACACTTCCCTGCCCCGGGGTGGAGAACATCCATCCGCAGCACCTAGCACCGGCCCCATTGCACAAGTCCAGCTCTGCCCATGGTGCTGCCTCGGCCATGTCCTGCCCTGGGTCTGTCCTGCTTCCTGTGCCCTTCCCCGGCACAGACTCCCTGCCCTG